AGGGGACTTGTACATCTAGATCTGGTTGCCTTTCCATATATTCGGTCGCGATACAAATAGCTTTTTGTATACTGGTAAGTCTTATGCACTGCCAAGTTTCTGGTTGATAATTAATAAAATAAGGGAGGGAGGAAGCTAAGGAACTAAAGATATGTATGTCCATCCCTTGGGTATACCCCTTGGGTGCTTCATATCATTTGGCTATAACAGCCTTGAAAATTCATCTCTTAGGTAGATCCCTTGAGTGTTTTTAATTCAGTTAGAACCCGAACTTCTTTCCAACCTTCCTAATTATTTTTAAAAAAATCTCACGACAATTCACCAATTTAAGAATTATACACACTCATGTCATAATCCTCTTACTTAAAATAACCCTATGACTACTCTGGTGACTATAGGGATTAATAAAAGCACATTAAGAACTTTGGAATTACTAGTCGCAAAGGCGGTGTTCCTACTCTCGTGGCTCACTACCTAAGTTTATTATTCCTACAAACTAATACTAGCCTTCCACTCTCGCTACTTCAACTAGCACCTTAAAGCATGCAAATATTGATCAGGTATTCACATGGATGAAAAACAAGAATAATAAATATTAATTAATGAAAAAGTCACAATCATAACTTAAATTAAATTAAATAGTACGGCGGCTACATCCAAAACCCTAGATTAAATAATTTAGCTACACATCATCTCAAAAATAAATAAAACAATGAAACCAAGGAAGAGTAGCCAATAGTTGAGATTGAAGTTGATGAACAGCTGCTTGCTTCCTCCTCCGATGACGTGCGTTGGTGATGAGGAGATTTGGTGTCGATGTGTGTGAGATGATGGTGATGAGGGAGTGGAGTTGGGGCTGGTTTTTGGTGAAGATGGTGATGTTGTGGTGGGCGTTGAAGGTGTGTTGATGCGTGAAGCAGGGCTTGGTGTGGAGACGGGGTGGTGGTGGTGGAGGCGTGTAGGGTTTTGGGCGAAGGGGTTTTTCTTTTTTTTTTTGGTGTGCGGAAGGAGTTTTTGGGCGTAGGTTCAAGGTGGTGGCAAGGTGATGGAGGTCGTCGGAGTTTTGGGCTGGCTCAAGGTGGGTGTTCGGTGGAGATCGGCGGAGTTTTGTCGTGGAGTTGGGGGAGGGTTTTGTGCGTGAGAAGTTTGGGGGAGGGGCTGATGGTGTGGAAAGTTTGGGTGATGAGGCATGGGGTTCAAGGCTGATGGTGAGGATTCAGTCTCTCTTCCAAAAATAAAACCCTAATCCTCTTTTTATAGGCTTTTCTCAAATCCTATTTCTTCAGGAATGAGAATTTTTTTTTTTCAAGCCAATTTAAATTAAAACTCTTCCAACTCTTCAAGTGCTTCAATTTCTTCCTTTGAGTTGCTTTTATCTTCATTTTAACCCAAAATTTCAACAATTCCTCCATTTAAGTACAAAACCTACAAATAAAGATAAAATCATATAAATAGCATATTGGTACTCAAAATATATTGCAAAAATCACAAATTAAGGATTTAATAAATAGGTAAAATATAAGCATATTACGAGGAAGCGCTCAAATTGGTCTGCGCCAACATTCTCCGGAAAGTCCTTTGGCCAACGTGGTTGGACAACCCGTTCCTTGTCCGAAAACCGGATAATTCCTGGCCCATGTGTCAGGATTACACAGATCTTAACAAACATTGCCCTAAGGATTGTTACTCTTTGCCCATCATTGATCAGTTGGTCGAGGGCATAACCAGTTTTAGAACACTTAGCTTCCTCAATGCAAATAAAGGGTACCACCTGATCCTTATGGCTCGAGAAGATGCAGAGAAAATAGCCTACATCACAGAAATTGGAGTGAATAAAACACGTTTGGCTTAAAAAATGCTGGAGCCACCTATCATCGTCTAGTCAACAGAGCTTTCCACGATCAAATCGGGCAAAACATTGAAATTTATGTGGATGACATGGTCATCAAGAGCAACCTCGACAACAAAGTAGTCGAAGACATGAGGGAGATCTTCACAATTCTTCGAGTAATTAACATGAAATTGAACCCGAAGAAGTGCACTTTTTACGTCAGATCCGAGTAGTTCCTGGGCTTTCAAGTATCAAAAGATGGAATAAGCGTTGATCCCGCAAAAGTCAAAGCAATTTTCTCTATGAAAGCTCCAAAAACAGTCAAGGAGGTTCAAAAGCTTACAGGATCCTTGGAGGCATTAAACACGTTCCTATCTCGAGCTGCAGAGAGGAGCCTCCCCTTTTTCAAGACGTTGCGAAAAGGGAGGAGTTTTGCATGGACTGAAGAGTGTCAGACCGCCTTCCAGGACCTGAAAGAGCATCTCAAGCATCTTCTCATGTTAGCTAAACTGGAGCCGGGAGAAACCCTATACGTTTATCTGGCTGCTCAAGAAACTGCTATATCTACGGTTCTCATCCAGAAAAAAAGACGGCAAAGAAATCCCAGTTTACTTTGTGAGCAAAGTCCTACAGGGGGCAGAATCTCGATACACCCCCATGGAAAAACTGATACTAAGTCTGGTGCTCGCTGCTCGATGGCGTCGTCCGTACTTCCAAGCTCACCCAATTCAGGTCTTAACCGAGCAACCTATACAGCAAGTTCTTCTCAAACCTGAGGCTTCGGGCAGAATGATGAAATGGGCCGTCGAGCTGGGGGAAAACCATATCGAGTATAAGCCTAGGACGGTTATAAAAGGGCAGGCATTTGTGGATTTCCTTGTCGAGACGCCTCGCATTTCAGACACCATGCTGGAACCGCTACCAAAAACACCACTGCAGAAACACACTCCTGTAGATCCTCGAGCTTGGACTCTTTACGTCGACGGCTCGTCTTGTGAGGATGGGGGAGGAGCTGGGATTATATTAGCCAAACCAACTACGTCACAGGAAATCGAGGAGATGAAAAGGCTGAATATTCCTATGCTTTGCAGTTTGGTTTCCCGGTAACCAACAATGTGGCTGAATACAAAGCGATGATAACAAGGTTAAACATGGCTCTAAGGTTAGGAGTCCAGAATTTGGAAGTTTTTAGCAACTCTCAAGTGGTGGTTAGGAAAATTGGCGGTGATTACAGTGTCCGGGAAGAGCATCTCCGGCCATACCTTGAAAAAGTCCTCGAGCTCAAGGACAAGTTCAAGAAATGTTCTATCGCCCACATTCTCAGAACCAGTAACAAAAGAGCCGATGCCCTGAGTAAGTTAGCTTCGTCTAACTTCGCACCATTAAGTCATAAGGTTTGGGTCGAAATGCTCCCTGAACCTAGCATTTATCCCCGAGTCTCTCTTACTATCACAGAAGATGGCGAAACATGGATGACTCCATTTGTACGGTTCCTTGAAAGAGGGGTGCTACCCGACAATAAGTCAGACGCTCGAGCATTGAAACTGAAGGCAGTCAAGTATACACTAAGGAATGGAATCTTGTATAAGCACGGGTTTTTGTTGCCAATGCTGCGGTGTATCGGCCCTAGAAAAGCAGCCTATGTCCTCGAAGAAATTCATAAAGGTTCATGCGGTGCCCATATGGGAGCAAGAGGATTAGCTAAAAAGGTTCTTCGAGCAGGATACTTTTGACCGACAGTTTTCAAAGATGCCTACCAATTCGTGCAAAAGTGCGATAGATGTCAGCGGTTCTCGCCTATCACTCGGCAGCCACAACATGAAATGGTAACCATCCAAGCCCGTGGCCATTCTACCAGTGGGGCACTGATATCATTGGCCCTTTTCCAAAAGGGGTAGGAGGACTACGATGGGTTATCATGGCAGTAGACTATTTTACCAAGTGGGTAGAAGTAAAACCATTAGCCTCAATATCCGGGAGACAGGTGTTGATTTTTTTCTGGCAAAACATGGTTTGTCGCTTTGGAGTGCCCAAGGTAATTGTATCGGACAATGGGGCTCAGTTTGAGAGTGATCCGTTCAAGTCATGGTGTGAGGAGATGCAAATCGAGCGCCGATTTTTCGCGGTTGCTCATCCTCAAGCAAACGGCCAAGCTGAGTCGATTAACAGAACCATTCCACATAGGATCAATACTAGGTTGCATAGTGCCAAGGGTGCTTGGGTTAACGAGCTCTCTCACGTTCTATGGGCATATCGCACTACAGCTCACTTCTCGACGGATGAAACACCTTGCAGTATGGTCTATGGAATTTATGCGGTTCTCCCAGTCAAAATTGGTCTTCCTAGTCCTCGAACAATTAGTTTTGTCGAGACAACCAACAATGAAGACATCCTAACTAATCTCGACCTGCTCGAGGAACGGCGAGATGCAGTAAAAGTCCGGGAAGCCAAGCACAAAGAGCTCCTTAGGAAACACTATAATAAGCGAGTCAAGAGCGCTGACTTCGCAGTCGGGGATCTAGTGCTCAAGAAAAATGAAGCTAGTCGAGCAAAAGCCCCGGGAAAGTTGTCAGCAAATTGGGAAGGACCTTATCGAGTCATTCAAGTCTCCCCGTCTGGCAGCTATCGACTGCAGACAACAGATGACACAGAGACCACTCTTTCTCGATGGTGGAACATTCAGAACCTTCGCAGGTTCTATGTCTAAATTATTATATGCTATGTGCTATTTTGCTTGCTCTATGACTTGCTATTTTCATTTCCTTCATATGTAATGCTATCCCAGGTCCCCGAGTAATTATCAATAAAAGTCATTATATATCTTTCATACTTTAAATGTGTCGACACTATTTTATAACTAGTCAACGAGATGGACACCCTTTAAGGTCATCCTCGATTGTGCCGTGTATTCAACATCCGGACATATAAACCGAGGATCTTTCCTCGTACCCACCGTAGATCCCGGTACTATATTATAGTGGGACCCGTACCTGGTTCCTCAACAAAGCCGTGTACTTTACATCCGGCCAATAAGCGCTACACAAATTATGCTCGAGTATAATTATACAATCGACGCTTATACAAGCTCGAGATGAATATATTACCCTCACATCGAGTGCGGGGACAGAAATTTACATCATTCTACATTTAGATCTTAAGATTCTTTCCCCTAGGGTTGACTCGGGGATGGCTTAATAACCCCAGAGTACCCAACAGCTCTAAGCTGGTTAATACAATGGCTTAGATTATCCTTTAGATCTATGATCTCCCAATCTTTCTCGCCGGTTCTAAGCAAATATTCCTCAGCAGCTGTCCTTTCTTTCGCTTCATCGACTGGATCGTGATCATCAAAAATGGGCAGCGGGATTTCATTGTCGACCAATATGTTCTGTAGAACAGCGACTTGTTTTGAGTAGAACTCTGTTTTTTTGGTTCTCTTCTTTAGGAGATCAATTGCAGCTATGAAACGTTCTGTCCGGACTTCTATCTGTTTCTCGACCAAGGCAAGCTGCTCGAATTTCTCGAGGAACCATGGAGATACCGCAATCTTCTCGCGCTTCCTCAATCGAGCATTTTCATCCTTCAGCTTTTTCATCTCGTCGCTGATACTCGACTCTAGAATCAGGGACTCTTGGAAGTCGAGGTCGTATTGATGGAGTCGACGTCTCCACTCCTCCTCTTTTTGTTGAAAACGTTGAACCTAGCGAGAGTGTATCTGCACATTATAAACTTGAAGAGCGTCCACAATCTCTTTCTCAAGGGTTCTCAGTATAGTGGTGTTGTGAAAATTCCCGAATTTTCTTAATGCTGATGAAATCATGGCATACATAGGGAAATGTTTGATCTCATCCTCCTCAAGAATCATCAAATGCACATTATGGACATAATACGGCTCCTGACATAATCAGCAAGGATACATCAAAAACAAAGAGAGGAAAAGAGAAGAAGAAGGCATTATGTAAATTCTGAGTTGATAGAATTCATTTAGCAATTACTACAGAAAGCTAAGGTCTACAACCCAAGTAGCAAATATCCTGTTACAAGATAGGAGCTCATACGACATTTGGGTTGGGCGGGATATTTGGTTAGCTCTCACTGGTTCCCTCGACAGGAATCTGAGTCTAGGAAACCTCTTTCACGCCTGCCGGTTCCTTCTCAACTTCAGGCTCCCGCTCCTCTTCCTTATCCTCCTCGACCTTCTTGGAGAAATCTTCATCAGAAACTAGCTCGACACCAATGAAATATTGGTCAAGCTCGGGTACCCGCATCTCTTCCCCAAGCTTAGCAGGTAACACCGTTGGGGCATCTCCTTCAAAGGAGGTGATTTCTAAGTGTGAACCCATTTGGGATTTGGGGGATGGTGCTACACAAAGGCCCTAACAAAGGGAGTTGTTTAGTGCCAAGATGCATCAACCCATTCTTCATCGCTTCATGCAGGATTTTTCGAGGATGCGGTTTCACGAATTGTTGTAGTTAGCCGGCATTGACAGGCTTTCCAAATTCCATCCTTTCGAGAGCGGCAACAACCATGCCATGGCCGCCTCGTGCAATAGCTGCTTCACTGATGCCCACCATGACATTATCCATCAATGCAATGGGCATCATTCTGGCCCAAAATGCAGTCATCCATTTCTGCAACTCTGTTTTGGGTATATGGGTTTTCCCATATTCTTTCAGTTTGGCCTCGAGTTCCTTATACATGGCCTGGGCAGTGGCCAACTCTCCCCCCTTGGCAGCCCGCATTAACTGCTCCTTCTTCTTTGCCTCCTCGTGGATTGTTTTCTCATGCTCGAGAAACCCCTTCTCAAACTCCAAATTGGAGATTTTCTCCCTTAGCTTCTTTTTGCGCATAAGGATGCTTGCCAAGGAGGTGGTTAGCTGTCGAGATTGCAAGCAAAAGATCAGTACAAATTGAAATACTAGTTACAAGCAGTGAATGTGGAAAACATTTGTGTTGGTAACATTTACCATTTTCAAGGCTTCTTCATCAGTCATCGTTTCGGCTACCTCTTCTATTATGGGGCATTCAATTCTATCATCCCCAAAGTGGAATATGGCGACGGCTGTAGTGTATGATGATGACCATGGAGAGGCGTTCAGATTCTCAGCAGTGCCCTTCTTCCGAGATAGCGCAGGCGGAAATGTTGTAAAACCAACTTGGGTCTCGTTCTGCTTATGGATTCCCATTTTTCTCTGGAGGGACATTGCCCTCGATAGGATTATCCTCCTTAATAGACTTATCCTCCTCGACGGTCTTGTCTTCTTCGACAGGTTAAACTTCCTCGACTAGCCCTTCTTTCTCGACTGGAGGATCCTACTTCTTTTTCTTTTTTGACTTAGCGCTTGCTTCTGACGCTTTCACTAGTCTCCTCAACTTCCTCTTCTTGCTGACCTTGCTTAAAGATCCTTCATCATCTGAATTTTTAATGTCAAAAATCTTGGAATCACCAAATAATCCAACGGTGTTCTTGCTCGACGACATAGCCTAGAACAAAAGGAATACACAAGAGGAATGGTGGGTTGTCGAAGCCCCCAAAATAATTTACCAACTTAAACTATAGATAGGATAAGTCAGGTCGATCCCACAGGGATGGGTTAAACTTCAAATAACCGGAACACGAAATTGGACAAACAAGAAAGAAAGTTGCAGAGTGTCACTCACTTGCACGAGTGGGTAAAGTCACTCAAGCAAGTGACTCTGCAGAACTAAAGACAAAGAAAGACAAATAGAACCTCACTCACGGGAGTGAGAATTCTGACTCAAGGGACTGACTCAACAAACTGGATATTCATTCTCTTTTCCCTATGTAATCAATCTGCAATATTGCACTCTTTTGGTATGAATTCATGCTCATTCAGGCACTTATATATCTCCAAGTCACTTCCGATTTTTCCTGGAGGTATCTTTATGAACTCAATTAAACTATTTTCCAATGATTCATCAAGTCATAAAGTCATTAAGTTTTCAAGCCTTATATGAATGCTTATGCTAGCCAAGTATATTCCTATCTCAATTAGAACATTGGACTATTACCTCCAAGTCATAAGTTGAAGCTAAACGATTCTGAACCTTGTTTACCCTTCCGGGATTCACTTTGTTCTGTACACAATCAATCAAATGGCCAATTTAATCAAGAGGTAGATGAAAGTTTTAACTTCAAAACACAAAATCATCCGAATACATTCACAAACTTAAACTACATAGGTTCCAGAGAATGAAATCTAATTAACTACACATACAAACAACAGAAAATACAATAAAAGAAGGAAAGCATTGAGAAGAAGCAAATCTGGATGGATGAGCAACAGGTCACTCGCCTGAGTGACAAAGGTCACTCAGGTGAGTGAGGTCTGTTACTCCTCTTTTTCTGCTACTGGACTTCTTCTTCCTTTGGAGTTTTCTCCCCTCTCTACTCTCTTCTTCTCTCTCTGTTGTGTTTTGTGTGTTGTATGTCCACTCAGATCTCCCTTCATGCTGGGAATGCAGCTCCTTTTATAGATTTTTGAAGCGGGTTCTTCTTCCAAGATAGCCTCCCCATGCTTGTGAATTATTTATTCCTCTAAATGCTTTGTGTCTTGAATCCGAGAATTGACTGGTCTCTTGCTCTTCTTCCAGGAGTGGTATCAGCAACAACATTGATCAATGTGGGTGGTTGGTTCTTCATTCAAGGGGACAAGCATGCTCTTTAGTTTCTATTGTGGGACACCCTTATTAACTCCTAATGTGTCTTGTGTCTTGGAGTTGCTTTTTGACCAACTCAGCCCTCATTTTAAATTGCAATCAGCAGCCCAATTATTTCTCCATAAGCCCCCATTTTCAGCATTTGTTCACTCCGGTCCTCACCTATTTAGAAACACAAAACTAGCTATGTAAAATGAACAAAGTCTAAGAAACACCCCTAATTTCTAACTAATTAAAGAGCAAAATTTCAATGCTTTTATGAAACAATTTAACCGTTATCAAGGAATTAGTACCTTTTTATCCTTGACAGGAATTGGGGGAATATACTGCTGCAATTTTGTCCATTTGAGATAATTTTTGAAGGATTTCAGAGCAGTAATGTCATCCCTATACTGCTCGATCCTGGCCTTGTCAGATTTAGACCAGGCATCAGCTATAACACCCATCTCCTGGGATTCACGATAATCCTAGGCCACGCAAAAAATCCTTTGGAGCCTCTACAAACAAATAATTTGGTTTCCACATTGGAGAACCATCGAAGAGTTCCATTATCTGCTCCGCACCTGACTTGGGATTCTTCTTTACATTATAAGAGTCTTTGTATTTCGTCCAGGAGACACAGACTTTGAAAAAATACCTCCACACGAGTAATCGAGGTTCAACCTTCTTCAACTCGTAGAGCCTCGCAAATCCGAGCACTGTCGATATTAAGTTTGGTGTAAATCGAATAAGGGGAATCTTATAGTATTGAACTATATCTCCAAACAAATGGTAAAGGGGGAATCTTAGCCCTAAAAACATAAACCTATCATATGCAGTTATTTTTCCCTCTGGAGGAGTAGTAGCCCTTTCTGTGCCTAAAGGTGCTTGATATTCTAGATCTAGTGGGAAATCGTACTTTTTGGCTATGGCCTTGGCTTTATCGACAGAGTTTATGGTGGATACGAAGTTGGAAACTGTTTGAACAGCCATATCTACCATAGTATATGCAAATATGACAAAATTCAGGTAAAAAGACAGGCCTAGGCAAGCATTAAAAACAGGAAAGAGTTAAAGGACTCACTGTTGTTAGAGTTCAAGGATGTTCTTCTGAATTTTGTTTGCCCGATGCGGTGAATCTCTTCTGTTGACGGAAAATGCCAAAATCTCCGGTGACAAAATAAAGCTTTACTGCTGGGCGGTGGCGAGTGATATGCAGAGAAGGCAGAAAAAATAGAGAACTCTGCTATGTATTTTTGCAAGATGTTTTGAAAAAAAAATAAATTCAGAGCTTCTGACACCGGTATATATTAATTCTCTCTCCCACTATTCGACGGGTGGAGCGTATTCAAGGGACAATAATGATGGCGCGGCCGTTGTTTGGAAATCGTGCCAAGTAATGGGGCACGTCTGCCAGGATTCGGGCGGGATTCTAAAGCGAGTTGTGTTCTCGGATCGGGTTTTGACCTGCGAGTTATACCAACTGGCCAGCTTAAGACACTTTGGGCTGTTGGCTATGTAATCAACTTGGGCCGAGTCTAGGTTAGATTAATATTTTGTCAAGTCTTATTTATTTCATATAACTAATACTTGACAGGGGCACTTGACGAGTCCATATCCACGACCGATATTAAACCGGCCCATTAACCGAGTAAGGGGCCCGACCGACTCTAATAGGGCGGTAACATGACTAAATCCTAGTAGGATTCGGGTTCCCTTAAGGTATTCCTATGCCTATAAATAGGGATGAAGGCACCATAATTGAGGTACGGTATCTCTAGCATCAATTCACATATACACATTATTTCGCAACCCTATTTTCTGACTTAAGTTTTGGAGTGTCTACCTTCGGGAGACCTCGAGACTCTGTTTTACAGGAAACCCTAATCGGAGTTCCACCACCAAGCCGGAGGCGCAATTCCAGGGCATCGTCAATGAACTTTCCACAAAATGTCTCCCGGAGCCTAAATGTCAAAAGCGTCATTGTTATCGGAGTCTTTGACTCCGGAATTTGGCTGGAATCGAAAAGTTTTGATGACACTGGTTTTGGTCTCCCACCCAAGAAATGGAAGGGAGCTTGTTTAGGTGGCAAGAATTTCAACTGCAACAAGTAAAAAAAATTAAAATATCTCTTTTCCTCGTGCCATGTACATTAGCTTTCTTGTTAAATTGTCCTTTGTTGAGATGGAATTCATTGATGTCCTGTGTAGTAAATTAATCGGGGCATACGAGAAACTATGTCACTGGAGAAGATTCTGCTAGAGATTTTAGTTGGTCATGGATCTCATACAGCTTCAACAGCAGCAGGGAAAATCATACATGTGAGTTTTTACGGAATCGGAAATGGTTCTGCTAGAGGAGCGGTTCCCTCCGCGAGAATCGCTATGAAAGGGATTGCTCAACAGATGCAATATTAGCTGGGTTTGATGATACTATAGCCGATGGCGTAGATATTCTTACCGCGTCACTTGGATTGAGTTCTCCGGACCCCGATTGATACAAGATTTGGTAGTTTAGTAGCCATTGGTTCTTTTCATGCTTTGAGGAGAGGTATCCTCACAGTTCAATCAGCTGGAAATAGTGGGGATTTTCCAGGCCTCATTGCAAGTACTGCTCCTTGGTCATTCACATTAGCTGCTAGTACTATAACTCGTGGTCCCCCACAGGGAACGACACCAAATTTTACAGGAGAACACCAAAATATGTTATTCATACTGAGCTTTTATCTTTCATGAAAGGGAAGGGGGCAAATAAATTGATTCGGAAGTTTTAGAGTAATGCTCGAATTTGAGAAGAGATAGAGTAAATCTTTTTGAAATTTGATTTCACTATCTTAATGGATAAGATAATGATTTTGATAGAGATTTGAAGTTTTGAACCGTGATGTAAAATTAAAATTATCTAATTGTGGAAGAAAATTAGGAATACATATTGTTGTCACTTTATTTTAGGCATAGAATGTTTTTTTTTTTGGTGTTTTTCCTGAACTTTTAGAGTGTTACGTGTTAGAAATGATTTTGTACTGAAAATGACATTTGTCGGGAAAATATTTAACATGGAGCTGACACTTGTCCTTCTTGTATGCTTCTTTAATTAAGTACAATAGATTGGGGAAAATGTTGTTTTATACGACTGAATTCAACCCGTAAAAGGAACTATACAATAGTATTTATACTCTTTCTTATTTGACAAAAGTCAACTACTCAAACTATACAGAATTTACAAACTAGTCCTTCTAATATGTACATCAGTAAAAAAAAACAAACTTGTAAGTTGGTGCTGTCGAAGGTTGCCGCTCTCAAATTACGGAATCATTGAAAAGAAAGATCCAGAGTTTTTTGAGGTAATTTTTCAATCAGGAATCGGAGCTTTAAAAACTTTAATTATGCAACTCTCCTCGCTTCTCAATTGTTTCCCTTTTCTCCTCGCTTCTGCTATAAAATTTAATAAAATCTCTCGATCGTCTATGTTTACTGATTTTGGTGTTTAGTAACTCCAATTTGAAATATTTGGAATATAAATTCTTGGAAAAATTGCAGTTTTTTGCTCTCTGTTTGATGTTATTTTGTTCCTCTTCAATTCACAAACTTTTTTTTTTGTTCTGGTTATTGCTGAAACATATTTTGGTCTGATTGGTTATTTGCTTTGAGTTTCTAAGCTAAACTATACTGGTGTTTTGATAATGATTATGAGATTTCTCATATGGACTGATTTGTTTCTCTCAATGGAAAACATTGGTACTAATGATTAGAAAGTGTCGCTATTTAAGGATAAATTGATGCACTTTAATATCATTATTTGCACCCTTTGATATTGTCTATGAAATTGATACATAGTTGGAAGGTAATTGGATCCTAACTAATGTTGGATGATGATCTACACAAATAAGATCAATGTGCTAGAACTTAGAATCACTTTGTAGATTGCGGAATGTAGTTCTTGTTTATTTCCAGCAAGCTCTTGAATTGTTGAGGGAGTTTCTAGATTAATAAAATTCTGCAGAAAGTGAAAGGAATTCGGCTATGTTTCTCATGAGCTATGTGTGAATACAACGGTCAACTGTAACTATGTTTGTCCGTATGCGACTGCTGGGGAATCAGTTTGCATTGCAAATTCTACATCTATTGCCATTCATGCCATAATTGTCTTGTGACTAGCTAATCTGTAATCAACTTCTCTTGAAATTGAGTTTTTTCTGATTACGATATTGCCGAGGGTGGCTATTAGCTTCAATAATCGGCCACTTCTTCAAAAGCCCTCTGTACTTTTACAGCAACCCGATCCCCATTCTCTCTAAGTCGGCCTTTGTAGAATTGTTCAAGATATGATACAATCTGGTTTCAACAGTGATGAGATACTTTAATGTGGAAATAAAAGAAAACCCAAAACTTCAGGTAAACAACTTTAAACGTAATAACAATAAAAAAACACTAAATGACTTTGATAGAAGATCATTGCCACAAAGATTACCAGTAGCAATTGGAGGTGAAGAAAGTTGAGCATACATGTGTCCAAGGTCCTCTTCTAAATGTCCCGCGACATCATCAGGAAACGATGAAACCTATACCAATCATAAAATATGTTATTTAAAGGGCAAAAGAGTGGCTGAGCAATAATAAAATTCTGGGATTTGACTTTATTATCTTCTATTCACCATATTCTAAGAACCTTCCTCAATGCTCGTCAACATGTGGATTTAATTTAACATTAGACAGAAATTCACTACAGAATTAATTGTCAAAGTAATTTTAAAAATCATTAAGCAAACTTCAAGGGAAGGAAAAGATCCCATGCAAAATTTTCTTTATGTTTCATTAGTTATTCTTTAGTTGTTTCTTGTAAAATTAGCTAAGTGGATAACTGGCACTCACCTTGCCACAAAGATTTTGAAGCTCAACCATTGCAGCAGGGGATAATACATTTGGCCGGATGCTCAATGCCTGACCAAGCTTAACGCCAAAGAGGTCACGATCTCTCTTATCTCAGTAGCTCGAAGGACTTCATTCTAGAGGTGCTAAAGAGGTCACCATGTGGCGGAAGCTCTTAATATAATCATCAAAAAGTTTACCATGACCATGAGGACTGCACCAATGTCCCACGCACGCAAATTTCGGCTACATCCTGTCTCCCAGATTTCAGCATCACTGCCCCTAGCATGTTCGAATTCTGGTCAAAACGCTACTTTAATCGATTGAACCTGCATAGAATAGCAACTTTCACCACTCGAATTGAACCTATTTCTTGAGAGCAGATGATGGGAATTCGGAAATCAAGGAAAAAGGAAAAAGGATTTCATAAATTTTATCAAACACCATCGGCAACCTCATTTGTACAGAAATACTCACTCTGTCCCAAAATTATTGTCCAGTTTGAGATTTCACTTTTAGTACAATTTGAACTAAAAATAAAAACTCAAACTGGATAATAATTATGGGACGGAGGGAGTATAAAACAACACCACTTAACTAAACATGATCGAATTTTATAATTTGAATAAAAATATCAGCAAATTGGCCATTACAGAACTGGTGTATACAGGAGTAACATACCGAAAATTCTGCAAGGGAGGCTTGCAGCGCTTTCTCTTCCTGAGCCACATGAATAGTTTCCTTTTCCGAACGTATTCAGAATAGACACAGAAAAAAACATCAAATTCAAAGACTGAGAAGTTGAATTTTAGATACCACATACTTGTAGCCTCCATTTTCTCTGATCATGTTCAATTCTTCATCGTTTTCGTAATTCTTCGGATTCAGATGCCAATAAAGAACTCCTAAATCAGCCAAATAGAATCCAGTAAGCCTGTCGGGTACTGGATGGTAGGTTACAAACAAAATTTCCCAACATAAAATAATTTAGACTTTTAATTACAACATAATAACAAAAAAGTAAATCTATGTAATTACCTTTGTGTGAATTTACCCATAACAAAACTCTTTTGCAATGAATTTGTCAGACATAAGTGTTGCTCACCACCGAGTTCATCAAATTTGGAATCTTCATCGATATCTCCGTCAATATTGCTATCATCGGGTCAGCAAATTTAGTATCACGATTTGGGATCTGTTGTCGATCCGTAATCATATCAGTATCAATAGTCATCAAGACTTTCTTCCTATAGCATAAACGTCATTAAGAAGATTGACTTATAAAATTTCGAACCCTTTAATTCGCCAGAGACGGCCGGATTTTGATTCGGAAGTGGCGGACTTAAGAGGCAATGGTATTTTATTTGTCGGCCGGATTCTGAAGGAAGGAGGGAGGAGGAAAGCCGGCGGATGGAGCTTGAGTTTAACATATTTTAGACCACGACTTATAGGTCCCCCACAGGGAACATATTAACAACTGTAGCTGCTAAAGATGTAAGTGCACCCAAGGTTGCCGGATTCTCCTCAAGAGGGCCTAATCGAAATTTTCCGGACATTCTCAAGGTACTCCATATATATAGTCATCTTAACCAATCTTGGGTGTTCCAGCTCGGGAGAAGTTTTAAATTGCAACACATATGAATTTGCTACCGCCTGTGCCTTGGCTCTTGGAGCTGAGAAGCTAATCTATATACTACATGGGCCGATTCTCGATGAGCACGGTCGTCTTAGAAACTCCCCAACTCTTGAAGATGCCGACGAGTTGATTCGACAACGTGCTCAACAAAGTGAGACAGCAGCTAGTTATGTGAAAGCGGTTGGTCAGGGTGAACCTGGTTTTGCCATTGGGGGCCAAGAGAGGCGCATCCGACGATTTGGATACCTTTCAGAACATAGCTACAGCAGCTTTTGTTTGCAGGGCGGAAGTTCAAAGGGTTCATCTTTTAGATGGCGCCATTGGTGGAGTCTTGCTGAAGGAGTTGTTTCAGAGACGGTGGCAAGTGATCTTTACGAAGGAACCCGTATGGCTACAGACTGATATCTCAAACATAAAACAACGCTGATAAAACCTTTGGAAGAATCTGGCACGCTGATCAAGATAACTGAAGCGGAGATTCTCCAAGTGCTCGATTTACGTATCGCGTATCGCGCTATACTAACTACTAACTACTATGTGCGCAACTATGAAATGCTACTTTATAGTCCAGGAACAAATTATGTGGTATTAAATTTGAACATGAAACTTGCTGTGTATCTTCGAGTTGATCCCAAAAAAATAAAAAAGAAAACATTAGTCTTACAAAATCTGTTTCAATTAGCTGAAAATCCGTTTCCAAGTTGAATTACTGAACCAAGAAGACGTCATCGTTGCGCTCCGATGAAGAGGATGATTGAAAGGCTTGCGGAGGAGTGTGGCATTCAATCTGGGATGAGGTTAATGTGCTTTCTTATGATCATTTGATGTGGGTGGGTTATGGAGGGATGGAAAGAAAGGTGACCCGGAAAGCCTCATCATCTTGCTAATCGCCACTTATCTTTGGCTTTAATTTCTAGGATTATTGTCTTTCTTCGGCCTGACAAAGTCCTCAGAGCAAAGCAATTAGGAAGCAATAGAACTAGAGAAATCAGGATCATCAAACAGAAACACGATAACTATAGTTATTACTCCCCTCCGCCCCGAAATTATTGTCCAAACCTTTTCATTTCTAGTACAAATTAAACTAAGATTGAAATCTTAAACTAGACAATAATTTTGAGATAAAGGGAGTACAACAAATTAATATGGAGCCTTGCAAATCGATGATAACGATCAACAACTCTTACAACATTGTAATTATGTCTAATTCTCGTTGGAATAGTTTTTGTTTTTTTCCTCCCTATTTTTTTTTTTTTACTTTACTTTGATATGCCACAAGCAGTTTTACTTTGATATGCCACGCGAGTTATAAACTAGTCAAAATGGCTTAAAAACAACGAGGGAGAAGTATAAAACACTCGTTAATAAGATATAGCTTGTTGATGTAACTAAAGGGCGTGCTGAATACCAAAGAAGGAAAATTTGGGTGTGTGATAATGAAAACGGACACAACTGAAAAGATGTTTCTGACCGAAAATCAAAGCATTTTACACCTACATTAAAATTTCAGAAGATGGAAAACCAAGATACTACCTTAAATGTGTGCAGGCCTGCAAGGACACCTTATACGCAGCCATTGTTGCAGTTTGACCTTTGGAAAGAACGAAAACCTCAGTTCTTGTGGGAAAAATGAATAGTCAGGCTTGTTAGAAGGTTAAATCTTATACGGCAAGAAGTTTAGAGCAACATCAGAGAATGCAGTAAGTAAGCTTTTCAAGAAAAACGACGAACAGATTCTGATAAAGTTGGCCATTTTATGGAGCTTGATACAGGGAATAAGAAGTCTGAAGAAGAAAAGATGTACCAATGTTTAAGAGTGGTATGCAAGTGACGTTTTACCTACTCTTTCCATATTCGGGGAGAATGTAGCTGGATAATAAAATTGAAACACAGATCCCTCGTTGTAGAGCTTTGAAAGCTCTGATAAGGATGCAACCAAATATGTAACACAGAAAAAATGGAACCCAAAAGACACACAACAACTCTTTAAAGTCATAAAGCTTATTAAAGCAAATACCCAATTCGTGAGTAATAATAATGAAGTTTCTAAAGTTTAAACTTTAAACCATTGTAAAAACGGCACTACCATTATGGAAGAGAAGAGTATCTTTCACGTTACCAGTTGCGCTACAATTATGTAACAGGCAGCAATGCAATTCTGAAAACCAATCAAATTCAAATGACTGTGAATGCAGTCATGTTCTCCACTGATTAAGCCACATTGTGCCATGATTTTTTCAGTTACAAAAGTAACCAATCATTTCATGCCAGTATAATCTCGTATGAAACAAAGAACCCTGTGTGTAAGTCTTCAGCTGATAGCCAATAGGCAAACCATATAAAAATTTCAAATATCTGTTCTTAAATGTTGCTTCTCAATAATGTATATCTCGTTTCCCAGTAACAAAATACCTTTCCATAGTATAACAAAATATCATCCAAAAAACATGAAGCATTGTAAACCCCTCCCGCAAGTCTGCTTCCTCGGGGAAAACTAGATGGTACTGACGTCCACTCGACTTTTATGAATCTGGAACGCAGGTGTTATCCAGCTTCCACAATTGCATTGGATGCCAGACCAATTAAAGTACCCTAGGCGCCCCTCACATTTAGCACATAACAGCTTGCCCTCAAGTGCACCTTCTTCAACTGGACAACAAGAACCACGTAAACTCAGAAACCTGATAAATGATGAATAAGGCCAAGCACTTAACCCGAACAATTGAGTTCCAGGATCATGCTTGCATGAACAGGCAACTTGGCTACCAATCATATTGGCGGTCTAGCGCAACCAAATTCAGATTAAAATCATCAATACGAAGTACTGAAGTTATTACTACCTGCCGTCATCCAGCTTAAAGGCTCGACAAATATGGATGAACACTCGTCGTCCTCAGGTTTGTTGAAAAAGTTGCCACTTCTCCTTTTGTGCCATCCAAAGGAAGTTTCTCCCTCTCCTGGAATATGATCCACAACATGTTCTTGCAGTGCAACAACCCTGCGGCATTTTTTACAGCGATACAGAGGTTTACGGACTGGTTCTATTTCAATGGAGGTTTCAACCTCAGAATTGACTTTTGCAGCTGATAACCCCGGATCTGCAACAAATTTTGAGCTGTGTATCTTTTCTCCACGGTTATAGGAATCCCCTGATGAATTTAAAATTTTGTTAGGGAAAGGATGTACATCCATAATCATAATGATAAAAACAAAATCTACTGAGATGGTATATAGTTCCTCTGAATGGAATCATGCACTGCATCATATCAATAGAAAAGATAGGGTTCACTACAAATCATTCAGATTGGGCTAAAATTAATTCATGAACCACTTAAAATTGTTCTACGTCCAGCTAATCCTAATGTTGATTATAGAACATGGAGAAAGCTACCAGCCTGAGCAAACCAACAAATTGGCAACTAGAAAGCTGATCAAATAAGGAAAGCCATCTATTACCATTAAATCTGTTCGGTTCTTTGCTAATGAAGATTGTACAACCTCTTCCACTTCAGCATTATGAACTACTAACTTAGTTGAAAACAAACAGAGGCCCCCACGAGCTGGTAAGCTTTTCACAAAAACTTTCTTTTCAAAGATAAGGCAGCTAACTGGCTTTTTCGATACACAATAAACAACAACATTTTCTACACTAGCAGTTTGAATTATCTTACAATGAAATCTTGGCCATGCAATGTCACATAGTATCTCTGAGCTCATTTTTCTCTTTTTCTATGCCCTTGCATCAATTACATTTAGGACAGAGGAACAAACGATTCCCCAAGGATGTTCGGTTTTTCAGGACAAAGCAACATCTTTTACCAATCTCAGTCTGTAACCAAAAATAATGAATGCATACAATGTCTTCAAGTTCAAGGTACCAGCATTTCCAACCATGTTGAAAGGAGTTTTAATACTGACAGACATTGAACTATGGCACCCATAAAACCAAAAACATACAATCAAGAGGACATAGAAACCCTAAAGTTCATAATCAGAAAAAGCACAAGGTCCAAAGTTACTGAAACGTGCCCTATGCAATTGCTGATTTCCTTCAATTGCATAAGTACTATGCTTTATATGGCACACTGTAACGGATAAAGAAACTTCATTGATGAAACAATCAAATGTAGCTGCAAAAAATGTGTGTGGGTGGGTGGGTGGGTGTGTGTATGTTCGTGTGTGTGTGTGTGTGTGTGTGTGTTTTAGACATGTATAATAAAATGATCCCCACATGGAACAGATGAAATGAACGAACGTTTATGAAATAACAGGCACAGATATTATACAGTAAAGATGATTCCAAAAATTTCTGATAATGATACAAGATAAGAACAGATGATAAATATGCAACACAGGCACACTACCAATTTACACAATTGCAGTCAACTATTCCAAAAAAACAAACTAAAGCAAATCAATGATCACCCACTTTTCTCAAAATAACCAACAAACAATAACCTAAAACTGAAATAAAGGGGAATCAAACCAAAATTTATAAATTGCTTCCAATCAACCATAATAAGTAACAATAAGCAATAGATGTTACCGAGAATCTACCTAATACTCTTAAACGGAATCGCTTATATATGGGGCTTGCATAATCAACTTTAAACCCCATTTCTTCAAACATTTTCAACTGCAAAGTGGAAAACAAAATCTCTTTAGAATCAGCAGTTGCTAGATTGACAAATTGACATCAAGAAAACTTCCTCCCTTACCTGCTCCAGGAAACCATCGTTAGGGCAGACAATTTCACGGCTTTGCCTTAAGGATTCAAGAGCATCTGCAAAGGAAAAAGTTGTCAACTTTGGAAGTCCCCGAGGATCAATCACAATATTGTTTCTTATAAGAACATTAAAAGAAGAAGATATCCAAATTCAATCCAACAAAATTATGTTAAATTCATTCAAACCTTCCACAGAGAGGCGTTCACTCCTCATGAGATATGCTGTAATAATAGCTGCACTGCATCAGAACAAACAAAAGGATTAAAGCTTGAGAGTTGAAAATGAATCCAGTTAATGTATGGCTTATCTACAATCCTTAATAGAACTTTGAAAAAAAAATTGATTTTTTGACCATCAATCATGTAAACTTCAAAATCCATAATTTCAGGATATAAAAGTCTAGGTTTACCGGCACCACGGTGTCAAAGAATATGAATGATATTGTTTCCTTGAGTAAGACAGCAGGTCAATGAAAATTTACTTTTTCACAGAACCAGCCACAACAGACATCAGGGCATCAGATTATGAGCTCATTCAGAATTGATGACCTTCATAATTGATCTACTAAATACATAAATCCTCAAACAGAATTGCACTTTGATTAGCATTCAAGTTGTAGATGAGAGCAGCACCGATAGTGTGACACAACACTATTGATATGACTACTACGTTATTGGTCATAAACCTTAATGAAACTCAACTGGTTCCTGGGTAAGTGAATATATTTAACATTAATGTCAACTCTATTTTATAACAACACGAGTCTCAAATTGGACTACCATAAGCACATTCAAAACGCGGCATTATCTGAAGCAATGCTTTCCATAAATTTCAACCTGCTTTTAAATGTAGCAAAGTGAAAGTTTCTACGGATCAATCACCAATACGGAAATAGAGCTCAACAATAACATATATCATTATCACCCACTTCATGCACAAACGTAATTCAATAAAAGGAAGGACAGTTGAAAGCTTCTTCAAGGATCAGTCAATAGAAAATTACCTTCTTGATACACCAGCAAAGCAGTGCACCAACACAGAACCCTCTCTTCTACTTTGGTCGATGAAATCCAAACAAACATCCAAGTAGTCCAATAAATCCTCACTCTCAGTATCTCTTAACGGCACTGCCATCCTTACAACCTTCAAATCCTTCCCTGCATTTTCCAAAGAGTAGAGCACCTTTTCTGGTGCCAATGAAGTCCGAGCACCATCAACGGAATCATCCTCTTTTCGTAAACTGCCTACATGCACCTTCCGAATCTCTTTTGTGGGAATCGCTATCTCTCTTCGCCATTCTGAGAAAAATGAAATTGATGTGGAGCTTAGAACTGATAATATGTGTGTAATTTCATCACTACCATGCTGGAGAATTTTAGCTGCATCACTAATGTCCCCGATAAATAGATGTTCCCGCACAAGGTATGGCATATCACGAAAGTATTACACTGCTCGTAAATCCAAAAATAGTCTCCTGCTACAGCGGTGAGAGTCAGAATTAGCTAGAGTCTATAATATTGATAAACATTTGGCATCATTTACCAGAGAGAAATAGAGATAGGAAACAAATCCTTGAATAGAAAGATAAATACCGAAAGGAAATGTATCAACTAATCTGTTTGCAAAAACCACACTAACTTGAACTTTCATTAACAAAGCAAAATACAATATCTGTCCTTCTATCGTCATACCATCATCTTCACTCATCATAACATATTTCAGATTGGGGTACCTTTTACATTTAACCCATCTTACCCCACCGAAACAGTTTTGAACTCATCTATCAAATCTAGCGGTACAGCATCAGTGATATATTTTCTACAAAACAGTGCATTTTCCAATAAGGAAACAGAGGTTCTGGCTTTATCCTTTTAACTAATAATCTTAAAATTACTAGAAAGAGATTGCAATAGAAATTTAAGTACAACATGCCAATCGCCAAATTTTAAATTTTCACCCTAGTTCATGAGACTATCCCATGCATGCAGCATTAGGTCCACTACTTAAGTAGTCAATTTTTTTTCCTTGTATGGACAAAGGCCTGCCTATTCCAGAACTAAAAGCCCCCGTTTCTAAAGTTATCTTACCAAGTCCGACATGGAATGCAGCAACAATCAGCAATTACAGAACAGGAAGAGGTTCTCCATTCTATTCATAACAATAATAAGCAGCAGTTTCAACTCAAGGAGCATCAGACTCACTGAATCATGCTCCCCTAACCATTCTTGTCATGATCGGCGAGTAACAAACAACAATTCCAATACATCATATAAATAACAACAATACAAATAACTATACTCCAAAAGAAAAAAATTATTTGCACCAAAACGGAAAGAAAACGGTAAATTTGCTTACTAATTTCCGCTACGAAGAAATCAAAACCAAAAAGGAAAAACATATCAATCCAAAAATTAGTAGAGGGAAATCCAAATCACAAACAGGAATCTTAATTCCGTAATTCCCTTCTTCGTCTTATAGTAATCATCCATTTCAAAACGTAGGGGTAGGAATTCAGGAATTCACATAACGAACTAACGAAATTCTGAAAAGAAAAAGAAAAAACACGGACTCAAACTCGAGAAATTATACATATTCTTTGAAGGATGGAAACGTACCGGAGGAAGAGCTTTTCCGGCGAGGTACGGAGGAATCGGCGTCGGAAGTCAGTGTAAGATAGCACTGAGAGCTGTGCTTCCTTTGCTAAAAGATTCCGTTGATTAGGCGCAATTTATAGGCTTCAGTTCCGTGTCCCCTCCCCCTTTTTAAATTTAATAATTATTCTTACTTAAAAAAAGAATATATTAATGTACGTACTATATTATTTACATCCAATAAAATATAATTAATGTTTTAGATACGCTCTAAATGTACCAAAAAAGATAGAAAATTATATAAAATCCTAATACAAAAAATCAATATCGCTATAATTTTTTTTTGGTTAACTATTTAATGTTGAGATACGCTCTAAATGTACCAAAAAGAAAGGAAATTAATACAAAATCCAACAACAAAAAATCAATATTGCTATAACTATTTTTTTTTCTGCTAATAACTATTTATTCACTAGTTATAACACTTTGAACCATATTTTACAAATCTTATACGACTTTAAATATTTCTAAATTTTAAATAAAAACTACAAAAACTAAACCAAAAGTCAAAATGATAACGAAATGGTACAAGCTATTTTTTTGAGATAATAAACAAACATGTATAATAGTTTCTTGCTTATAAAATGTGCTAGTTTTGTTTAGTCATATAAAAAGTGTATAAAACTTGACGTTTTAAGTTTTTTTGCCCTTCCGTCTTTAAACACCTACTAGCAATTCAGAACTTGTGTATACGGAATTTTCTCTACCACTTAAAAGACTGGATCAAGGTAAACTTGATTACAAAATAACAAACATAGAAAACAAAATTTGGGGTTGCTTGTTGGTTGATCTGGACATGGAGAAACGATTATGGTGTTCAATGATCAGATACTTGATATCAATAGGGTACTACGCACTACACTTCAGGACAGAGGAGATACTTTGTAGCCAAGAGATTTTAGCAAGACAAAGGGCAAAAGGAGACTGTGTTAAAGGGACGCAATGGGAGCCTCCACCAAATTCATGGTTAAAACTCAATTGCGACGTCGCGGTATGCAGCGGGACGAGCCTAGGGGCGGTTTTGGAGGATTAATTAGAGATGAAAGAGGCTGCTTTGTTGTTCACCAAAAAAAAAAAAAAGAGGCTGCTTTGTTAAGGCATATGGCCAGAAGCTAGGCCGATGTTCGGTGGAAACGGCAGAAGTCGCGGCCATCATCATTGGTCTAGAGATTGCCAAACAGCATGGGTTTTCAAAAATCCTTGTAGAATCTGATTCACAAGTAGCTATACAGCTGTGCAACAGTTTATGTAGAATCAGAAGTTTGGATCCTAATCTCAGAAGAATCAGGACCTTTTGAAGGTGAATTGGGAAGTTAGATCCAGCACACTCTCAGGAATAACAATGTTTGTACAAATACTTTAGCAAAACAAGCCCTAGGATTTAATGAGGGCTTATAGCTTTGTTTGTTGAACAAGAATACTTAGGACACTGCACGTCTTTTGAACAAGGCATCTAGCCTTATTAATATAATCTCATTTCTCTACAAAAATAAAAATAATAATAATAATAGTAATGGTCACAAAATTTGCACTAAAAAAAATTAATAATAATGGTCACGGAATAGCCGGGAAGCGGAACAGTGATCACAAAATATGAAACTCTTCAAAAAAGTATGAAACTCTCCCATTTTCCAGTTAAAAACAGAAATCTACCAAAACTCAGATACCAGATTTCCTTGTTCCTTTCCAACAATTTTCAACTCTACAAAGTACAAAGGTTTCCTCTAGTATGGAAGTTTCTGAATGCATTGCCTTCGTCAAAATCAACCTCCAAGTATATCAAACGACATGTTGACCTACCCCGTGCCACAATGACAGTTACATACAGTTGATGTCGGAAACAAATAAAAATCATACCAAAAATATGCAATGCCTCGTGAATGAACCGTCATTCCCCAACCAATCAAATGAATCATATGTTAACGCCGCAAGAATCCAATCTCTGTTGCAAGCTAATCTCTGTTCATCTAATATTTTCAGCTACTAGTGCTCTAAACCGTGCTGCTCCACAAGAGCTTCCAAGGGAAGCGATATGGATTGTGTAGGTGATGATTAATTAGCACTCTTCAGTATCCTTTGTGTAGACAGGTATCTGCCATACCTTAGTATTCTTTTTGGGATCATCTGTAAGGCTGAGATCATTCTCATCTTCCTTGTAAGTTTTGATATATGTTTTGGCTCCCATCAAAATCAACCTTTCTACCATGAACAGCTGATAGTTGTTTTCAATCAAAGGATCCAAAATGCTACTGTAGTTAGATGAGTATGCCAATTTGTACCTACAAATAGAGCATACCGCTAGAGTTAGTATCAGTTCACACATTTACAGATACACGTCACAACTGAATAGTAAAACCCTTTTCTTTTAGTGCCACGTTATTTTGAATTTATGACATAAGGAAGACAGGAACAATTTGGCACCAATATCAATTAGGTTAACCAAAAGCAGAGTGCATCAATAATAAGCACAGAGAACCAGAACCTCTTCTGTATATTTATTTATAGATAATCAGCATAATCCCTCCCATCCAAAAAAGGGCATATCTGTAGAAAGGTTTTGGTTCGTTGCCTGAAGAAAGCCTGCTGGCTATTGTTCGCCCAGCTCTCTTGCTATCTAATTGTAATGGGAGAAAAGCAATGATCCAGAAAAAATCTTTTCGAGGTCTGATAAAAAAAAATAAAAAAAAAAAACTGAAGTTAAAACTAAATTTGGAACATTCAATAAAACTCCAATCCACAATCAGCAAGTACTCATATTCACTTGTTAATATCTATTAATCTACCGAGAACTATGACAGTTCCCTAGAAGAAACATGGAGAGTTAGCAAAAACTTTAAATTCAAATGAGAACTAGATTGTTTTCCTCCCAGAACCAAAACTAATGGCAGAAAACATGCCAAATCCTAAATAAAATTATAAAGGAAATCTTCGCAACTGCTAAAACAATTAAAATGAATTTCTGCAAAAAAAACTTCAGATCTTTTAGAAATTCCTTCACCATGTATCTAGAAGACTCATTATGTCCTAAGTGTTCTAGAAGGCTCATAAAATCCACGTTGGCATTTGAATATCTCAATAAACAAGTCTTTTCTCTCACTGCCTCGTCCCCGGCAATTAAAATCAGATAATACTAGTATCAATGATTGTCATATCATTTAGCCATTAGCTCTGTCCTTTTTAATCTTTCAAAGTTAATAAGGAATTCACCAGCGAAATGACCACACCACACTTGTTATTATAAGTAAGATCATAATGCTAAGCATGTCTATGGATCTCAAAAGAGAACATACAATTTGAATTGCGCCCAGCACAAAGCAGAAGAGTTACACTTGGTGAGAACAGGGAAAAAAATAGAATTAATAAACACCTGCCACAGTCGCTTTTGGTTTCGTTTTTGCAGTTGTAAACCAAAAGACAATTATAAGCATAAAAATGACGAGTAGATTGAACTATGTTTCTTACCAAAAGACAACTATAACTTATATAAGCATAAAAAACGGACTAGAGGGATCACGGAAACATAAATTTAACAACCACATATTCCATTGCAGAAGTTATTGAAACCTTGAGCAATTGAATTATCAAAAAGTACGAAGTTTCTTTATTTGTTTAGTAAAACAGTCACGATTTCCTTTAGTGGGCAAGATAAATGCCAAAGAGGATCAAAAGCAGCAAGATAACATACCTTGAAGCAAGAGGCGAAAAGAAACCTGGTTTTCTTTCATTTGAAGCAATAAATAGAGTTCGTCCTGGTGGGCACCATTTTGCAATTCTGCACTGAATGAATTCTGGACGTGTATCTCGATCAATATGAGGATGCAATGTTCTATCAACGCCAAACCTATCCTTCCGAGTTTTTAATATATCACCTCGTCTGACATGGATGGCATCATAATCGCCAAGAAGAGCTTTAATCTGTTGGAATAAGAATTAAGACAAAAGTACGAATTATGAAATATCTTACTCTTGAATTCATGGCCCTCAACAAGTTTTTAACATTCAAATTGCAAATATTGGGGCCCAAAGGAATGTCTGTAGTGATCCTAAATCAATTACGGAAGCAATGAAATACCAACCTCAAGGTTACAAACCATAAAGTGTGTTGTTGTATTTTCCAGTATTGTAGAGATTTTAAAAAGGTAAAACGAGTCGAATGATAAAACATGCATGCAATGTACCAATGAACTTAGCCCTAGCATCAAAGTTTTTTACTTGCCGAAAATAAAAGATCGAATCTAAATCAGAAATTGGAACATGCAGCATTTATAGCGCATGGGATCTAAAGGCTTTTTTAAGCCACAGCAATAAGCAATTTTCTTAAGCCACCCAAAGAAAGCAGATATCAAGTCAAGCAGGTTAAATCAACTTTATGCCCCCAAAAAAAAGGGAAGAAGAAAATATTTGAGAGGAAAGATCACGGGTAACAAGCACTTTCAAGCAAAATTTCATTGATCTCATGTTGAAGTATAATTTTTACATCATTTTATCCTGAGATATGTTTATTTCCAAAACCAACAGTCGCTGAGAGTACCTGCACTCAGATTTGCGAGTTCAAGCGAGGTAAAATAGTCAGCATCTTTTATGATCAATTCAAGCTAAGATAGTAGCTACACTGAATCTTCCCAAGACCAGGAAAAGTGAAACGGTAAATAAATCAGAAAATTGAATACGATGCTGAGAATTACACCATAATGAAGAAATTCCAAATAATACTATAAGCATCTTCACTAAAATGGAGCAGGGCAAAGGTCTTTCCGGCGACATTTGTTTCCTAGAGAGAGAGCATCAGGTCTTCTTATGTAATTTTGTAGGTTAGAACATTCAGTGATGAAATATGCTTAAAATTCTTCACAACAGAACATAAAACTTAGTAAGCACTAAGCAGAATTCCCACCAAGGGTTATGTCGGGGGGGTTTTAACCACATTTAAGTGGGATCCACTAGGGTGGATTTTTTTTCTTTAAAAAAAAATAAAATAAAATTGTAAGCACTAAGCAGTCATAGTTAGAGAGTAGAACAGTCAACTTTCTGAAACAGAAGTGCAAGTTTTAGCCAGATTTTTATTTTTTTAATTTCAGATCAAAGGAAGTCCACTCTTGCAATGATAGTTACAGAGCATTCTCACTGATACAATCACTATCATTTAAGTGGGAATCTTTTTAAGGTAAACTAATAAACAGTACCTGATTAATTTGAGGAGCAATACTATTTATTAAGGGTAATAAGCTAGAAATAGAGGAGTACAAGAACAAAGGAAAACCTAGAGATCAGCCCCAGATTATACCAGAAATACCACACCCATAGCATAAAATTAGTCCTCCGAACAAATACTAAAAGCTGATTGTTCAAAACTAGAAGAATTCTTAACCATAAATCATCTTCTATTTGCTTAATCAGAAGAACGCAACCAAACAGTTAAACTTTTGCATAGTTTAAAGCAAATCGGTTCTGCTTATCACTTTCAGGAATTACTTCTCGTCCTAGTTTTCTTTTTTTTTTTTTTCTTTTCCAATCAGTTGAACCCAATCAGTCAAACCATTCATATGAATATAGTTCGTAAGTAGGAAAGAGCACATCACAAGGAAAACCAATTAAACAAATATCTATTACAGGCAATACAGAGTAAAAGAAAATCAAACCCCAAAATCAAACCCCCCAGCAATCCTTATAATACCCCGAAACAGAACACAAAAGTACAATACACTACAAGAAGCAGACCTTTTCTGCTGCATTCTGTAACTTTTTGGCTGCCATTGAAGGAAGAAAAGAATGTGGCAACAATACAGCACTGCGGTCATTTCGATCCTTGCACTCCATGAACCTGAATGATTACCATGATTAAATACCTACACAAAAACTATCAAGATTCAAAAAACCAAGCCTACCAAGCTAAGAATAAAATATAAATACTATGCACAAGTATGTGTGCGTGTGTTGTTAACACTGACACTGGTTAAAGACTAGAAGTTATCAAACATCACCATACAAGGGAGTCAAACAATTTAATCAACTGAGCAATCACTTCCACCAATCAGATTTGGAAATGCTTCCGAGTCACATTGAACAAAATTTTGACAGTTTAACAAAAGAAACATGTTGTGATACACTATCTAGAAGTAATCCATATGACATGAGGTCCGCGTACTGACAAATTTAAAATAAGTCAAACCCCAACAACTAAATCTGCAGCCAGACAAACCAAGGAACAGAAAGCAAGTTGGAAACACACAGAGGTGAAAAGGTTCAGTAGTTAAATTACCATGCGAGAGGGCTGGCGGTTCTATTAACAAGTAAAATATTTGAGTATGAGCTTTTAGATTGCAGGTCATTCCGACTAACTGCTTGAACATTTGCAATCCCTCTCGACCCCAGTTTCATGCTTGTTGATAGTACTCTATGCCACTGTTTTGAATTATCCAAAATCACAGGAACTTTTTCAGATATGAGAGAAATGTCATACAAGGAATCCATGGCACAAGAATTAGTTGTCCACCTGAAAAGAGAAAAAAGGTAGAGAATGTATGTATCAACACATATCACTAGTTTACTAGTTTCTCTGACCAGATAATCATCAAATCATAGCAACCATCAAAAAACTTTCAATAAACCACTCTTAGTTTTTCAAAGTTAAAGCAAAATTGCTTTTCGCCAACAAAATAAGGGGGAGAAAACACAAAGAGAACCTTTCTCTAGTAAAGTGCATGAGAGTTAATCCATACAAACTTTCCTAAATATCTCGCATTGAAGTCTAACCTATGCCAACTCACCTTTCCTCGGAACTGGTACTATTGGATTGATGAAGAATCCCCTTGTTATTATGTATTGGATTGATGCACATTCTAGAAGGCATCACAAATGTTCTGAAAAATGTGCAACAAATATATCAAAGCATCAGAAAGAGTATAACTGTAAAGAGAAAAAAGAGCATTGGAATGAGTGTAACACTGAGGACAAAAAAGATATTTACATAACACAGTGGAACAAAGGGTTGAGTGATGTGATCTCAAATGTGCAACAACAAATAATGAAGCCCTTAACTTTAAAGAGATACAAAGCCTTCAATACAGTATAAAAACAGTAACACTAGGCCATGTTGCTGTCTACAGCACTTAACTACTCCAAACAAAACTGAAGGTATACATTCCAAATCAGATATCAAAGCATCAAAGTATCAAACCTTACAATCTTTGCATACACTAAACTTCCCAATGAAACCTTAAGTCCCTACTTTTGCTCATAAGAATTGTGCAACTAGATCAGATGTTACCTTGAACACTACTACAAAATGCTAAAATGCCAATCACTTGGCTATGTAGAATCCATCAACAACAAGCCTTTAAACTGAAAAATTACAAAAGCGTACACTAACGACTTAATTTTAACTCACAAGCCGGAGAACTTCAGTTCATATCTAATTAGCACCCCTCCGAAATGGATTTACAACATATTTGAATTACGAATTACAAATTTCAAAAAAAAAAAAAAAAAGTAAAAAGAAAACCCACAACTCGGAACAATGTATCATAAACAATATATTTTGTAATTTTACTTAGCACTAAAGTAATTTTACCTTCCTAGAAACATAGCTTCTTCAAGAGCACACCTAAGGCTAGACTCTTGATGACCAAGTCCCGCACAAGACTCACAGTGCTTCCCAGGACAGTCAATCCTGTCCCCCCAATACAAGTACTTATCGGGTTGTTTATGGCGGTGGTTATCCTTTGAATCATTGCCCCCAACAACAACACTGATTCTACTAGAGGCGGGAAAGGAGAAAATAGTAGTTGAAAAGAAAAAAGAGGCAAGGTACAAAAGAGCAGTGCAGGCAAGGACGCACACAATTATAAGAAGAAGGGAAGATCTGGGTCTGGGTTGAAGTTTCCCTCTCGGGAATTTGTGGATCGCCATTCAAGCTATTCGAACTCTGATGAGCTTCCCGTCGTCAGTAGAGTATATACATTCTACTTTTCTTGCGGGAAGTGTGAAGGGGGGGGATAATTAATGACGATGTTATTACGAAATTCAATTTTTCCTTTGTTTATTTGTTTTATTTTCGCCTTTAGAGAGACTGAGAGAGTAACCCCATTCTCCTAATTTTTCTTCTGTTCTTTTTTTGGAAAAAATACCAATGACAGTTAAAAAAAGAAAGGAAAAATAATAGAAGAATAGTCTTTCAATTGTATGTAGTTTTATTTTGAGTTCCTTATCAGAGTTGGAACATTTTATTTTAGCCTTTTAGGTCACTTTTCTATATTAATGTAATATTTTGAAATACCTTAATATGTCAAAATTATTATCTAACAAGTTATATAACAGCAACCTAAAATATTTGGAAGAAAAAGATAGGAAAAGGTGGAGAGAATTGGACATGCATCACCAAATGTCAATAGGTAGGGTGAAGAGGAAGGTTGAGTGCTGTGCTGCAAAAGGGCAAAAATATGTTGCAAAAAGCCAAAAAAGAAATAACTTGTAAGATTCATGGTTCAATCACACCTAAAAAGGATCAAACCTTCTTGGATATCCAAGACGGTTGATTACTTCTTCTATTGCTTTCGTATATGAAGGTTTCCCACCTATAGTTGCAGCAAAAGAAAATTGTGTGGCTATCTGTATCTTCCAGATCTAGCAACAAAATACTACTTGGGAATTGCAACCCAAACCCAGTATGTTCCCAGCGTCTTTGCAAGTAAATCGGCACAAAGATTATCATTTCAACAAGGTATGTTCTAGCAGGAACTCCCTTTCCAAAAGCCGGATACCATGGAATTCACTAAGTACTGAATCCGTTTGAGGTTTCCGAGCATCATTTCAAATCGCCATCAACAACGACATTTGTTGGCATCATTAACTTCATTCGATTTACGCCATAAATACAGAGCCAACGAAATTCAATAGGTTTACAATAAATATGTTGATTAAATTTACTCTTTGATCCTCGATTTCACACCCAAGCTTGTCACCCCAGACTTGCCTAACGTTGTTTACCTACTACTGTGATTTGCAGACTATTACAATGGCGTGGATTTAACATCTCTAGTGGGGTTCTCAGAATTACCAAAAAAAAAAAAAAAAAAACAAATTACTCTTTGATCATTGTCTAATGAACTAGTTCCTCCTTCACAAAAGATTAGGCTATTTGATAGATACACGGAGATGTTTCAAGAGTACTATGTTATTAACAGCTTGTCTACAAGAATTTTCCTACACAATTTTGCGAAACAATTTTACTGTTTCTCTTTTCAGACATAAGTTACGGGACTATGAGCTACGGCACCATATGGAGGTAAATAAATTCCCCGTGCGGATGATTAAGTCCAGCTGAGTCTCAAAATGATCGAACTTTCCCCAGCCGTCCCTTTTCTGTTTGTGTAGCTACTCATTCACACCAAAATCCATGTTGCATTTCTTTCGTATCAGGGGAATGTTTCAAAGTCAAGCATTACTCTGACCCGAGAAGGATATTTGTAGCTGCAGTAACATCATTTCTAGCACGGATCAGCGCCTGCCTCGCAGCATTTCTATCGAAACCCATAGACACAAGGGTAGCAATGGAATCCTCAGGAGGATCCACAGTGGATGGGAAAGGAGCAGGATAGTTTCCCTGAAGGGAAGCAGAAAGACATCACTAAGAAATGCTACCGACAAAGTATTAAAAAAAGTTAAGCACAAAAAAACACCTTTGCAATATCCTTCCACACACAGTTTTACAATAGAAGCTTTTTGATATATCAAAAAAAAAGAAACCCAAATGACTCCTGATTACAAAACTAAGAAGCATGCTAGTATCCCTTGTAAGAAAGTAGCAATTTCCTTACAAAAATGATGTGACTTCCTGATTTAGACATCTGAAAGAAAAGCTTCATAAATTCATAACAGTGTGGTGTTGATTTTAATATATCGGTTTCAAAGAAACCACATGGGCAAGTGAATAATCTGAAACAGATAATTATCCACAAAATATCTTGCATTTCTCTAAACAGTATGATAGATGAATGTATACTTAATATGCCACATTACTCATTTCAACAGTTCAGAAAATTACAAACACGAAAGAAATGAGTCAATAGCAGATATAACTTTTGCAGATCAGATCCCTACAAGAATAAAATCATTTAAACCTCCCAAGAGTCTGAAATTTTCACTTTTGAGACTCAAAAGCGGGTTTGAAACATAACATAATAATATCATAACTGATTTATGTGAACGCATATTTTATCTTCTTAATTCCCTAGTTTATATAGTCTATTATAAATTTATAATCAGATTCCTATAAGAAAAACCCGGTTAAACTTCTTGAGAACAAAATTTCGAGTATGTGATTCAGTACCAGCACGTGTTCTTCTAAATAGTCGGAAGAGGGTTTAAAATATAACGTAATAATATCAGAATTAACTGATATATGAGAATGCATATCTCACCTCTTTAATTCTCGAGTTCATATTGTCTATTTTAATCAGATCCCAAAAAGAAAACCAGTTAAACCCCTTTGGGGTCCAAAATATTCAGTTTGAGAATCAGTATCTGCCACGTGTTATTCTAATAGTTGGAAGAGGATTGAAAACATAAAATATTGAACTTAAGCAGACCACTCCACCCAACCCCCACACACACACACACAAAAAAAGGAAAAAATAAACTGAAAGAGACAATAACGCTAAAAGAATCAAACTGCCAACTTATCCAGGTGACAAGGAGCTGAAACAATATAGAATTGCTCACCTCTACCTGGCGACCTGCAAAGGATGGCACACTTCCCAGGGGATTCCTTGCCGTTGCTGTAGGTGATGTACTTCCTCTAGAAGGCAATGCAAGTCTTGAAAAGAAAGAAGCAATAAAATCTGGGAACTGAAATATATAAAAGAGAGATAATGATTTACAGCGTACAAGATAAACTAAATACGAAGGCACACAAGATAAAGATTACAAAAAATCCAGAAGTAGCATGCCTATCTGGGGACAACCTTTAATGCTGGACCAAATTAACCAAACTATGAAGAACGAAAAACTGTAGGCTGTGTTTCAGGGCAAATCTATGAGCTCCTGAGTTGAACTAACAAACATTGTTAAGCCAGAAAGATTCCGCTACGATCATTAACTATAAAACAAAGCCTATTTTTCATTTGCTATACACATGCTAAATACAAACAAATATGACCTCCTTCATGAAAGATAAGAATATTTTCTACAGGATACTTCAATAATTTTAACAGCGAGAGCAGTCCCCAAGCATCTCATTCATTGGCTATAGTAAGCAGACTAGGAGCTAAATTATTGGCATCATCTTGTAGAGGATCATTAAATCTTTAAAAAGAAAGGCCAACTTCAAAAAAAAAAAAAAAAAAGAAAATTTTCTAATGCTGAAATGGAAGTTAACCTTCATCCTGCGTATGCGGAGAACATTCATCCGATAAAAAGAGCCAGCAAGAATGCCACAAATCCCTGGCAATAAAGATCTTCTCCATGATGAAAAAAGAAGCTGCACAACAGAATGACTGAAGGTGAGCAAACATATCATCTCAAGGATGATGGAAGCATAAATAAAATTAACTGAGATACAAGTATATAACTCAAAATCATTTAGAATAGAGAGGTATCATTATTTATCATCACCTGAAGACCAGCTCCATATATAAAAGTCTTATCAGAGAACTGAAGGCCAAAGACACGGAACCGTGTTGAGACTGGTATGTCCAGATAAAAGGGAACAAACGAAGCAAAAAGGATGCCATACGGACCAGACGTGAGAATGTTCAAGGAGGAATCTGCGTCAATAAAACCGAAAAAAGGAGTCCTTTTTACTTATGCGATATAAATATACCAAAATAAGTCCATATATGTGCAATTAATCAGCAGCAATCAATGAATTTGGCTTTCAAAGATCCATTAATGAGGACATGAGGACATTTATAGTTTATAACACACTGTCACCCATAAAATAGTAGTGCATGCTTAAACAGGTACCCTGAAATTCAGAGGACGTTGACATTCTCAAGCACAGAAACTGTGAATATATCAGCTGCATATATGACATAAGCATCAGAGAAAAGAAGAGAAACTGGGACAAGGGAGATGAATCTAACATGACACAATATGAACTGCTATGGCTCAGATGCAGTGGCAAGTCATAAACTGGAAATTACAGATGCAGTTTTCAAGAAATAATCCATCAAGGTTGCGGCCACAAATAACTTTGAATAGCCCAACAACATTGCACATTGCTTCTGTGCTAGCAGTTGTTAGCCCAACGACATTGCACATTGCTTCTGTGCTAGCAGTTTTAGCAGCACAGAGAGCTCAGCCACCCGAAATAGCAGGCACACTCCACTTCGGCAAGAAGCCTGGATCAGTAAGAACATTTAACTTCTATCTTGATAGAATGCCTCTCTTATGCTTAATGCTTTAAGGCTTTAGATTTGTGCACTCATTATGTAGGACTATGAAAAACGGAAGGCAACGTATCCTCAAAACTGGTCAGGACTCAGAACCATCTCCCAGGACACACTACCTGGCACTTGACATTGTATCGAGCTTTAATTTGAAACGCTAGGAATAGTCCACAGTAACAAGACAAGACATAGTTCTGATGAGTTGGAATCTGGTTATATGTCCTGCCTGCAATGCTTAGGGCACAGAACATAGGTTTTTGATGTTGCATTCTCTCATTTGTGGTCACTATTCAAGATTACCTCCTAGTTCTTCAAAGTTTTTACAACCTTTCCACAATCTATCCCAATGACATGATCATCATTTTCAAATTAGTCGATCATCACCAAGCCACATATTTTGTTTCAATCCTAAGCTATCCTAACCGCTTGGCATGAAATTGAACAGAGATCCAACTTCAAACATCTATTGGGTATTTGTCTTAACAAAGGAAGAAAAATAAGTAGTACAAAACTTATATGTAAATATACATATATATATATATATGGTTTTTACAACTTATATTAGTTTTTAAGAGATTCTAGGATCAAATCGTAATCATATTTGTATAATCATATTTGTATAATAGAAGAAAAGGTGTATGAGCAAACAAACACAACATTAACTATGATGTGATTTTTTATGCACATTAATCATGCATCTGAATGCAAATGGGACTCTCTCCTCCATAAAATTCAACAAGAAACTCTCTTCATATACGGATATAATGACCACAATAAGAGAGGTGACTAGGTATTCCAGAAGAGTGATACTATCCATGCTACTTTCTACAAAATAATTTTCAATATCTATGTTTATTTTTTAAAAAAAAAAAAATCAAGAAGAATTAAACACCAGATTTGAATCACTGCGAATTTACCATACCATTAATGATTCTCAACCCAAGGATCTGTAGCAGTAACGACATGATAGCAGAAAACAAGATGAAGACCTGCAAAGACAACTAGGTAAGAACAATTCTAGATTCTTGTATTACATCGTTGAGTAAAATGGATTTGACAGACATACAGTGTGAACAATTATGTAAAAATCACAGAAACCATGGTTTTCAAAAAATCACATGGGAATCATCATATAAAACATGGCCCCAAATATTTCACTAAGTTAAAACAATTGAAGGATGTAATACACAACAAAAACTGAAATGTTTTTAAAGAATGTGATTGCATTCGACACACAACATTTTCCTCCTTTTGCAAAAGAAAACAACTTGTTTGATAATTAAGATATGGTCCAAATTTTGAAAACGAAAAATGTTGAAATTAACTTCAGATACATTAACCTAGGGTCCAGTGACAGATGCTACAGTAGAGAATCAAACTAAAGCAAAACTGGGGAAACTGGTTTTTAAAAAATAACCTGACTTATGAAATGATAATCAAGTGGGTGAGAAAACAAAATTCAAGGCTTCATAATAGTGCAGCTGCCTCAAATAAATTTAGCGAAGAAAATTGATTGGAAAAGTTCTTTCTTTTTAAAGCTTTATTTGATTAGAGTACAACTATTTATCAATAAGAACTTTGAGTAGACAGTAGTGCCAACAGGAACAGCTAAAAGGATGGTAATTCATCAGTCCAGTAAGAATTTAAAGTTATGAAACTGGTATTCACACACTACTGGAAAAGGTTGCCCATTTTAATTCAAACCAGAACAAATAATTATGTTGGAACAACCACTTACAGAGTACTTATTAGAACCAATTTGCCTCTCGAATACACGAAAGTAATAAAGCAGATACAGTCCAAATATAAGTTCTGGTGCCGATTCAAATGCGAAAACTGAAAGGATCAGTTTCCAAATTTGCAACTTCTTCACAATGTCCTACAAGACCAAAGCAATGCGATAAAAATGAATCATGTCTATTATATCAAGAAACTCATGGTAACATAAATTTGCAATGATAAAAGCAAGAAAAAGGATAAACTACACTTCATTGCATTATAACTAAGAAGTCTTATTAATATTATACACATGATAACAAGGAATCATTCTCTATGGACCCCAACTTCAATCACGAACTTACTTATGTGTGTATATATGCCCACGTGCATGTCATGCACCACTCACTAGCAGCATACATATTGAACACTCCGCTAAAAGAAGCGAAATCATAATATTGCTCAAACAATCATCCTATTGGTGCAGTACATAATTGCTTCCCTAAGAATTTTAACAGTAGTGTTAAAACTTAACTATCACTAATCACACACCAATGGAAATCCTAAGGTGTAATAAAGAATAACGCTGGTCACTAAATAAGCTAAGTGGAACCAATCTGATCAGTAACGGACAGCTGCTGGAAGAATTCTTTACCAGAGATATTACAATCATTTATTGGAGAAAGTTATCATCACATCATCACAAGTAATGAGCTCAAACAGTCCCATTTCAAAAGCAAAAAGCCCTTGATGTTCCCACAAAGAAATAGGTTGCTAATATACTATTTGCAAGGATAAACTTAAAATTCAGAAGAATTCGAAAGAACACTAGAAAAGTGAGGCTGAACAGGAAACTAAATATTACTGCAACATAAGATGTTAATATTAAGTTTTCACCTCCATTCAAGTTCCAAGTAATATTCACAAACCAAACAGGGTCATTAATAAATGGCCTCTTATTGCTAGAAAATTTCTAGAGTACTTAAAGCCATTTGAGGTGGATTAAAGGCATAAAATTCATGCTTCACTGCTGCCGCAACCTCCCTTCACAGAACCTGTAAGACTATGAGTTAATTATTTTGAGGGACTTAAATCTGATTCAGGCTCGATCTTTGATAGTCCTAACTTTTGATGTTAGCTTCAAGTAAAGACAGGTGTCATCTAGTAAAAGAATAAGCATGACTGCGTCTTTAGCAAGAACTCATCAAGCAAACTCTCTGACCAATGTTATTCTAGAGAATTCATTCCAACAAACAACCTTGGTCACTATTCAAGCCACATTTCAGATAGGAAATGAATGCTTGTACTTCCTATAAGATCAATGGTGTTGAGATGCCACGGATGCCCAACGAGAAGTAAGTCTTCAACTAATCACCAAATCCAAACTAATGATATGATAAGTGGTCCATTCCAACTATGTCAGTGAACTTAATTTAAATGGAGAAAGTACCTAGGGTTCAGTTTAAGGCAAATTGATCTACCTAACTCCAACACACCATTGCCATATTCCACATTTATTCTGACAAACGTAAACCAGAAATCTATAATTCCCAATAGAAATTACACATGATTAAGACGAAATTGGGCAAAAACAATCGCTGAGCAAATTAATGAGGTCAAATGAACCAAAATTGAAGGTAACACAACCACCACAATATCAAACCCAAATCAATCAGAGAAACTTAACTAGGAAACCTTTCACTTCAAAGCAAACAAAAGAGATTTTAAGAAAGATTGCGGGGGAAAAAAAAAATTCTAAGACGGGAAAAATAGCATACTTCATAGGACCACCCAAGCTTGTTTGAGCGACCCTGGATCCCGAACAGGAAGGTGAAAAGGGTGCATGCGATCATTAAGGTTCTTGTCACTGGTGCATTGTCTGTCAACTCAAAAATCCCAAATACAAATCAAACTTCTACTTCCCATCCGGTAAACAGATTATACAAGTGCGAAAGGGATCAGAAAAACATACTGAAACCAGACGGGCCGCCGTGCATCTTTGCTAAAGTGAAATTCAACGACGACGACTTCAGCTCTTCGGAATTTTTTTGGCAATCAGATGGATTCACGCTATGTGTTTGATTGTGTGCGTGAAAGAGTCTTCTTTCAGTTTTTCGTTTTTCTTCTTCTTCTTTTTATTAATTTTCCCTTCTTTTCTGTTCCGCGTTTTCTTCTAGCATATTTGGGAACATATATATAATATAAGAAAAAACGATAGAATTTTCATTTATATTTTCAGAAAATATACCAATAAATCATACATGTGTGACGATATAACTTATATTTCATTTTGCCACTTAGAAGTAGAAAGTGTTTCAAATTGAAAACTAAATGGGAAATAAAAATGTTGTTTGGATGTTGGTTTTGAAAAAAAATTTATTTTGAACTACATTTTGAAATATAAAGTACAAGTCATCACTAAACAATAAAATATTGTCAATTATAGTCATTGCAAAAAAGAATTTTTCTAAAAACAATCACTCAACAACGGAATCCTGCAAATTTGTCACTGAACTATTTGTAGTTCTAAAATGGTCATTACACTAACAAAAAGTGTTTCAAGTTCGAATTTAAAATGTAAATCAAAAAATTGTTTGGAAGATGTTTTTTTTTTTACATTGGGTTTTGTGTTTAAGAGGTAAAATGAGTTAAAATGTAAAATGAGTGAACAAACAAACAAAGCCTAGTATCGCGTAAATGCTATACGTATTGTATCAAAATCAAGAATTTGATGTTTTGTATTATAATTATTATGTATCGATAAATCGCCGATACATATCGTACGATACATACGATACATAATACATTTGTATATCGTACGATATAAAAATATAGACAAAAAATGACTTTTTTCTTATAAACATTCAAAACTATTGTTTCATAATGACCATTTAGATTTCAAATTAAAAGTGAATTTTCGTTTCAAATAGATACTTTTGATTTATTTCCTTCACAAATATAACATTTATCAATTGAATATAAAAATTATTTTTGTTTAATAGATTATTCCAATTCAAGAAATAAAATGATTAATGTTATAAATATTTAATGTAGATGTCTACAAGTCAGAAGTGTTATACAAAGAATTAGCTGTTCAGAGATAATATTTAGTTAGATATTATAATAGTTAAATATTATCATTCTTTAATCTTATCCTTGTATCTTTGCCTATAAAAGGAGATCAGTCTCCACAGAATAATAGAGACATGAATTCTCTCTTTCTCTCTCAACTTGTTCTCTCTCTCTCTCTCTCTCTCTCTCTCTCTCTCTCTCTCTCTCTCTCTCTCTCTCTCTCTCTCTCTCTCAATTGTTCTTTCTCTATAATTCTTCATATTTATTTTATAACACGTTATCAGTACGACTCTCTATCTAATTGAGAAGATCTTAAAACACGTTATCAGCACGACTCTCTATCCAACTGAGAAGATCTTAATTTGTAGATCATACTCTCTATCCAACTGAGAAGATCTTAATTTGTAGATCAAGATGTGTTGTAAATTAATTTTAATTCAATTGAAATTAATCCGTAGATCTGAGAGTGCGGTAAGTTAATTTGGATCCATAGAACAAGAAGTGCGGTAACATTTTTCTTGTTTTGTATTTCTATATAAAAATCTTACAATACGAGAATTTATTATTTACGTGTAATACAAATTTACTTATGTTGTATTAATTTTGTGTATTAGATACAATTAAGTGCTCCTGTAGTAGCCTTTTCTATTATAAAGTTTTTGTATATTGAATTTGCTCAAAGAGTAGCAATTTCATAAAAATATTCAAAGAGATTTTCTTCACTTCCCGAAATAAGTGAATTCAAATATGTTAGAATATCATAGTCATATAAATTGGCCACCTGAAGTGGTAAATATGAATAAAGATGGATATCGATATGACAAAAAACCATGAAAGAATTGCTCTTGGAGTAACAGTTCATTATGTTTTTTATTAAACGCATTATTATGGTTTTGTTTAAAGAAATCACAATACTCTTTGATTTTGAGAATTTTCACTTCCTGAAGCAAGTGGACAACTACGTCGTTTATAAGTTAAATTGTGATAATGGATCTACTATAATATGATAGCCACGTATGAAAATAATATTTTCACATGAAGTGGAAGATTATTAACAAGAACAATAAGAAAGTTGCTCCTAAAGTAGCTATATAATTCTTGTTAGTATTGAGCAAATTATTGGGTTTTGTTGTAAATAATATTATACTCGTCTCTCATTATCGAGTACAAAAGAATATACTAAGTGAATTTCTCTCTCTAAACTAATTTCTCTTGCTTCTCTCTAGGTTGTCCAAAAACCCTAGATTTGTCTGGACTTCTTATGGAGGCGGCTACTCGGCCGCCGGATGATATCCGGCCTAAGCCACCCTCCTTTGCTCAAGTACTGAATGGAACGAAACCAAATCCACGCAGCTTGATCCATCCTTCAGGGAAAACTACTGTCGATGCTCCTTTCATTACCTCAAAGCCATCTCTCTATAAAGGAGAGCCGGCCTTCTTGCTGTCCAAGGAAGAAGATGAAAAACTCGCAGCCCCATTTCAATTTTCGCTTATTGGCAAATTTTTCGAAGGGAGGCCGAAAATGGAGTTCTTGCGAAGCTTTCGCACGGTTGGATTTAAAGGTAACTACTCGATAGGAATGATAGATCACAGATACATTCATATCCACTTTGATTTGGAAGAAGATTTTCACCGGTGTTGCATCAAGTGGCTGTGGTCATTTGATCATCATATAATTTAATCTGGCGTATGAATCATCTATTTGTACCAGTGTGGGTTGCTTTCAAAGGTTTGCCGATCCACCGTTTTAATGAAGAATATCTCCGAGTATTGGCAAGCATCATCGGAACACCACTCTATTGCTCGAGTGTGCGTGGAAGTCGATCTCCTTAACGAATTGCCTAAAAGAATTCATCTCGGCACGGAGGAATTTTCTTATTTTCAGCCGATTACATATGAAAACCTCCCTGAATATTGTTTTGAATGTAAGAAGGTAGGGCATACTTCTAAAGATTGTAGACATGTGAAAGCCAGGGTTTCGCAGGCTGCAAATTCGAAAGTAATTCTGAAGAAGACTGATAAGCCAAATGCTGCCACCACTGTACCCAACAATGTCTGGAAACAAAGAGAAAAAGCTCCAGCAAGGGCATCTACTATTGAGGACACTGGAAAACCAGTAGAAAAGGATCCAAAAGCAAGCATCATTATTGATGAGTCTGGGAATAAAGCATCATCGTATGGATTATCAATGGCAGAAAAGGTTGGATTCTAATTGATATTGAAACCAATAGCACGCAGAATCAGCCACTCTCGTCGGGTGAAAGGAAGATCTCCAAGCAGCAGTTGAGTTCTATCATAGAAAAGACTGAGAATGATGAGAGTAGCTGGGAAACAGAAGAGCCAAGAAAAAATGAAATTCGAGGAGATGACAACGGAAAACAGCTCGCTCTCTATGTTCCACAAATCAACTTGTCCACGAGATTCGATCTATTAGCGGATTTTAATGATGATCAGGTAATTCCCAATGGCGATGGAGATTGCCCGCATGACCATGAAGCTCAGATGGATGTAACTAATCAGGATGGTGACTCAGAATTGGATTCTGATGAGATTCAAATAGCCAATTTACTGGGACAAGAAGAAAGGAATCTAAACTCTTACGCTTGTGATGATACTGCTATTGGTCGGCGACATGACCCTGATAATGAGTATTCTTTGCGAAATGTGGTCTCAGATGAAGAAGGAAAAAAGAAGAAACCAGGCAGGCCAAAGGGGTCAACAAAAAGAAGAAAATCCAGGGTACCAAAACTCGAAAATCATCGAGACTCAATGGCGATTCACCCTCTAAAGTTTCCTATGAATAATCAAATTATATGAAAAATTCATGGTATTGGGAATAAAGCGTCTCTTCACCAGTTAAAAAATCTAATTACTATACATTCCATCTCCTTTGTGATTATTTTAGAGCCTATGCTACCAGTTTCTAAGTTAGAAGAGCTAAGGAATAAAATTCACTTCGATCAAGCATATTCATCAACTATTGGAAAGATTTGAGTATTTTGTTCTTCTGAATGGTCCATTTGATTAATTGGAGGCTCCGAAGAGGTTCTTCACTTGAAAATAAAAAATTTTCCAGGAAGGTGTTGGTATCAGCAGTCTATGCAAAAGCAACACCGCAAAAACGTCAACAAATATGGTCGGAATCGCAAGATTTTTCTAATCAAATCATGGATCAGCCATGGATGGTAGGAGGTGATTACAACGTTATTCGAAGTCTTGAAGAGTATGACGGGAATTCACAGCCGGAGCAGGGAGCTATAGACGATTTTAATTGCTGGATAGGAAGTTGCCGGCTTATGGAATTAAATCCATTGAGAAATCTATATACATGGAAAGGGAATCGCCAGAATGGTCGCGTTTTGAAGCGTTTGGACAGAATTTTATTCAACCAAGAATGGATGACTCTCTTCACAATCTCTTCAGTTCATCACTTGAGCAGGTCGACGTCGGATCATGCGCCTTTGTTACATCGATTTCGTGTTGATTCAGAAACCTGGCCAAGTATATTTCAGTTCCAGAAGATGTGGATGAGAAGAAATGATTTTCTGGGCATAGTGAAGGAAAGTTGGGTTCATCCAATTGAGGCCTTTGGAATGTTACGATTCTCTTTGAAGCTCCGATGATTAAAAGCTTGTGTAAAGGAATGGAACAAATCAGAATTTGGAGACGTGTTTCTGAATTTAAAAAATGTGGAAGAGGTTGTAAGAGTTAAAGAGCTGGCATATGATCAAATTGGCACAAAGGACGCTAGAGTCGAAATGAACTTAGCTCAAGCACAATTGTTGTTAAAGTTGCGAGAACAAGAAGACTTTATCCAGCAAAAAAACGAAATTGAATGACTAAGAGAGGGAGATGCAAACACAAAGTTCTTCCATGCTTCACTGGCTGAAAAGAAATCTCGACTCGGAATCCATAAAATAAGAGGTCATGATGGTTCTTTGCTCTCCAACAGAAATGACATTGAGCAGGAAGCGATTTTCTTTTTTCAAAATTTGTTGTGTGAAGAATCAGCTGAGTTTCATGAAGCGGCAAGCAGTAAGATATTAGAAAACATTCCTTCCCTTCTAGATGTTGAAGACAATGAATTTTTATTGCAGCAGCTAACTTTTGAGGAGCTAAAAGATGCGGTCTATAGTCTTGATCCCACGAGTGCTCCCGGAATTGATGGGTTTGGGGGTGATTTTTATAGACATTGTTGGTCTATTATCAATCTTGATTTAATGGCAGCTGTGAAGAATTCATGAAGGGTGTCCCAATGCCTAGGGCAATCACAAGCACCGCCATAACTTTACTCCCAAAGAAAGCTACAGCCACTTCTTTTGTGGAATTCCGGCCGATAAGTTTGTGTAATTTTGTGAATCAGGTGTTCACGAAGATACTAACGGAGAGAGTGAAAAAGGTACTTCATAAATTGATATCGGAGGAACAATCTGCTTTCTTGGAAGGTTGTGATATAATGGATAAGATTCTTATAACTCAAGACCTCATACAATTCCTTGATCACAAGACCAGGGGAGAAATCTAATCTTGAAAGTCGACATGATGAACGGTTTTGATAGGGTATCCTGGAGTTTTTTGCAGCAACTTCTATTAAAGTTTCGCTTTCATCATAACTTTGTCAATTTGATCATGATGACTTAACACAGAGCTGGTTTTCAATTCTTCTTACTGGGAGTCCGGTTGGTTACTTTCAAGCCTCACGTAGTATTAAACAGGGTGATCCACTCTCGCCACACCTTTTTAGTTTGCTATCGGAAGCCCTAACTTGGAATATGAATTTCCTCAAGGAATATGGAAAAATAGCGACATACGGTGTGCCAGCTAGAGCGATAATTCCATCTCACTTGTGCTTCGCGGACGACCTCATCATTTTTACGAGAGGATTACAATACTCTATGCAGCAATTGATGAATCTTTTCCAGAATTATGAAGATACTACCGGTCAGAAAATGAACACGCAGAAGAGTACTTTCTTTGTCTCGGATAAAAGCACAATGGAACTGGTTGACTTAATTGCATCTGCGCTACAAATGCAAAGAGGGACTTTTCCCTTCATGTACTTGGGCTGCAAATTGTTTATGGACAGGAAAAAAGTGGAATACTTCCAACATTTGCTTGAAGCATTTGATGCAACTAAGGAATTGGAAGAATCATTTTCTGTTGCAAGGAGGCCGTTGCTGCTAATTAAACATGTATTGTCAGCAATTCGTCTTCACACTATTGCAGCAATTGTGCCCCCAAAATCCATCATTGAAGATCTTGAAAGGAAATGTCAGAATTTCCTTTGGGGAGATTCCGAAGACGGGCAAAAGCGCCACTGGCGAGCATGGCGTAAATTGACTTATCCGGTGAATGAAAATGGTTTAGGCATTCGGAGTTTAGAGTCCATGATCCAAGCATTCTATATGAAGCTTTGGTGGAAATTGAAATCAATGCAAGGAGTCTGGGCTCGATTTATAAACTCTTTGTCTGATTTGGCGAGAGGGAAAACGAGTTGGATGCGAATAGCACGAGTGGAGCAAATGGCGATGTCTCGGAGTAAAGTGTTGACCGCGATGGTTCTTCATCATTCTGGCATGATCCATGGCTGAATTCAGGCGTAATATAGAACAATCAAGGCAATCCTCCTGCACATGATTTAACTGTCAAAGACTTTTATGTGTCTGTGTCTTTTTTCTTGCAGGTTTTCTCAGGTTTGCTCGATCAAGCAACGATAGAACAGCTACGACACTTGGAGCTGTACTTTGATGATGGAACAGACACAATGGTGGGAAGCCAACAGTGGCCGGCAATTTTACAATAGCTTCTGCTTATGAAGGATCCCATCCCCATAGAGAATTGTCTCCTCCTTTATCAAATTTTTGGCATAAGCTTATACCGGTTAAAGTTTCTTTATTTATATGGAAACTTTTTAACAAGTTGCCGTCATTTCCAGAAATCTTGTAGAAGCTTGGATTTAATATGCATCCATCGAGATGTCCGTTTTGTCAAGTGGAGGAAGAGAACATAGAACATGTTTTTTATACTTGTCAAAATATCATTCCTATTTGGCATCATTTTGCTAATCTTTTTGGTTTTTTAATCCCTCAAAGTGCACGATAGTGGACTAGCTTGAATATTTGGCACTCAAGGGAAAGTTTTACTTCAGCAAAAAAATCAATTATCATGGTCATGCTAATTTTTATTTTGTGGGAAATATGGAAACTAAGAAATAAAGTAGTCTATGATGGTATGCACTTTTCTTTAAATTTTTTGATCAAAGAAATCATGACTAATATTTCGAATATGTTGAATGTTCATGATTTAAAGGCTAAAACATTGGAGGAGCAAAAAGAGTTGGAAGTGCTTTTCAAGATGAAGGTCTATCGTACGGGGAACAAGAAGATCACAGTGTTGAGATGGAAGACCCCAGATTCTGGAGAAATAGCCCTAAATACGGATGGATCAGCAATAGGGAAACCAGGCGAGGCGGGATGAGGATACATCATCAGAGGAGCAAACGGTTCATTCAAATTGCAGAATACGGATACATGGGCTATGCTACAAGTTTCGAAGCTGAAATTGCAGACATCTACAATGGACTAAGGGTATGTGAAGAGCGGGGATTTAATTGAGTGATAGTCCAAACAGACAATCAAAGTATTGCTTCATTGATGCACAAGGGTAAATGTTTTCCATGGAAGCAATACATGACATTGAGAGCTATTCAACAAAAACTTCTCGCCTCCGATTCTAAACTTGTTCATATTTTTCGAGAGGTCAATAGTGTGACGGTTCGAGAGGTCAATAGTGTGACGGACGAGCTTGCCAAAAAAGTATCAACAGGAAATACATTGCAATATTTTTCTTAGGACTCCTTGCCAACATCAGTGTGAGGTAAGATTTATTTGGATCGGAATAATTTTCCTTATCTGTGTATTAGATAATTTTATAGATAGTATAAGAAATATAGAGATGTCATGGGATCTTTGTTATAAAACCTTTGTAAGACATCTCTTAGTTTAAAAGTTTCTTTTTGCATTTAATTAAGAACTGCCAGGGGATATGTATTTATATCTTTGTAAGACTGTTCATAGCTTTAGAGTTGTTAGAGTACCATCATGGAGTTTTTAGACAAACTTATTGTAAGACAGTCTCTTTTGATTGGGGTAAGTCTTAAGCACTGCCCTTTGTACATGTTTACTTTTAATTAATAAAATCGGGAGAATGCCCGCTAGGTACCGCCCTGGTTCTTTAAAAAAAAATTGTACTCGTCTAAGTTGGTCGGCTGCATTTCTTGAAGTAAATGCGATTATCATGAAATTTAATAGCAGACAAATTGAAATCCCAAATATAATTGGGATTTGGTAATGATACCAAAAATATTTCTAATTACCAGAAGTGACAAATTTTAATAAAAATAAAATAACCAGAAGTTAGAAAGATAAAAGGAGTAAAAGGTAAAAGATAGCAAGTGCTACTTATTGTCGTATAAAATTAAAAAAAATCACTAATCATGTTCCTACTTTGTAGCAAGAACATATTGTTATTATTTGTCAAGAATCAGAAAGGCATTTATGTTAACCATAGTGTTAACTATGTTATTATGGATTTTTAAAATGATCACTCAGAAGGTGTGTTAGTTATATGTTCAAAATGAAAGCATCCAGTGGTAGTTTATTTTATATTTTAACTTGAGTAGTTTCTTTATTTAATGTTTTACTATTTCTTGTAATTTTATGAATTTAAGAAATTTCAGTATTTTACTAGAAGATATTTAATTAAATGCTCCCGTAGAGCATATATTTCTCCAAAAAAATGGACAAGAAGCTCCAGAAGAGCAGAATTTGTCATTGCAAAGTACAATAACTTGTATGTTCTCTAACTACGACAAATATGTAATTGAATTCTTCGATAAAGTTGGATGAAATCTTTCACAGAGAAGTAATTACTAAATATATCTTAACAAGAGTATATGTATGCTCCAGTAGAGTAAGAATATTTTGACAAAATTAAAATAACTGAGTAAACAAATACTCCTGAAGAGTATACATGCTCCATCAGATTAAATGCTCCAGTGAATAAGAATTAATTCGACACAATTGAAATAAATCCATTATTATCTCCTGAAGAGAACTTGTACATTTTGCTCTAGAGAATAGATAATATATGCTAAAGCAAGTAAAATTTTCCAATAATGTCAAATGAATTGGAGAAAAGTTTTTCGACTGTCAAAAAATATCATCATATACTTTTATGTTAAGAACACAATTTCCAGAAGAAACTTGTCTTCGGCTTTGTATTCTTTGTGTTAAAATATTATACATATATTACTATCGTTGGGTTTATAGTAAACCAAAAGTTTACTAAGGAACTAGCAGTTCACTTCTTGTTTCAACAAGTCAAACCAGAAGTTTATTGATTACAACCATTTCATATATTTCACATAACTTATTAAGCCATCATGGTTTCCAAATAGAACAAGAAAGTTCATGTGTTTTAGATTTGGAGAACCAGGAGTTTCTTCGAACAAATTAACTGATGTGCTAAAGGATTGCCATTTTTGTATGCTTGTCATTAACTTGCAACCTAGAGTTTGTGAACGTTAATTATCGACTTCAATTTAGTTATGAGTGTAATTTCA